CATCTCTTCTCAGGTGTTCTGGATCCAGACTGAAGCTTGTGTAAATCCTAGTTACCACGGGATGTCAATCCCGTGGCAAAAAAAACAGAGAAACAAATAGAGACATAATTAGTGTAGCTGCTGTTCCAACAAAGCAAAATAGATTTGTTTTAACCCAAACTAAAGAATAATAATGTACAAGATCATGAGATGCATTATTTGAATGCTTGGCCAAAGAGATATGTCTTTATGGTAAGGACTCTAGCTGCTGCATTTTGGACTACCTGTATACTCTTAAGAAAAATGGTTCTAAACAGTTCCAGAAAAGGGTTCTTCGGCTTGTAACAATAGCAGAAGCCTTTTTAGTGCTAAATAGAACCTTTTTTATAGGTTTCCATATAGAACCATGCTTTGAAAATGCTATATAGGACCTTAATGGTGTTATAAATAACCTTTTTAATTACTATCTGCCTGGTCTTATAATATCTTGAAGTGTCTCTTAGGGCTTTACATTAAATCAACAACTACAATGTGTCAATTAGGTACTTTTATTTTTTTTAATGACGTGAAATTGTAGCAAAAATGACAGTGTTCTAACAACAGTTATTAGCAGAATACTTTAATGAATGACAATGGACATTGAACATAAATAAATGCTTAAAGAAGTAAAACAAAATAGAACATAAAATAGTGTATTGAAGACCAAGCTCCAGTAAAATATCTTCACAATCCTCTATGATACCTCTAAGTTATCTGTATTTGGGTGGGATTAAAAAGTAATATAAAGTCAAGGGATAGCTGGGTATGTTTATGCATAAACCCTAGTAATAAAAAATAACAACAATGCACCAAACTAACTAACACCATCTAACAAAATGGACCAAAAATTCAATATCTTTGTTACTTACTAAGTGAAGAAGAGGAGAGTATCCTTAACTGAATAAAGCTGGTCACACTTACATGTTCTCTTAAACTAAAAAGAGAAAAGATATAGGAAACCAATTAGCATTTAAAAGTTATAATTTATTGACATTTTAAGAAATAAATTATTTACCTGTTGAGAGTGTGTTGACAGTCTGTGCAGTTGGATGGCTGAGCTCCAGAAAATCAGTAACGAGGCATCTTGTAGTGTAGCCTCGGATAGGGTTTTACATTAAAACAACAACAACAATAACCACAACAGCAGCATGTTGTGTGAATTATGTTTTTATTGACATGCAAAATGATCAGTGCTCTTAACAACAGTTATTAGCTGAATACATTAATGAATGACAATTAACATTGAATAAATTCATAAATAAATAAAACACAAAATAAGAACAAAAAATAGATGTGATGAAGACCAAGTTTCAGTGAAAACAAAAAAATGACTATGTGAGCCCTTCACAATCTTAAAAGAAAAAAGTGATATAAAGTCATGGGATAGTTTTAATATTTATTGTGACCGGGTATGTTTATACATAAACTCAAGTAATAATTAAAATAATCTAACAATATGAATTTAAAATTCATCTTTTACCTACTTAGTGGAGAAGAGGAGAGAAGTTTCCACAGCTTAGCAGAGCTGCACACACTTATATGTGACCAGCTATTCCAGAGTTTGGGAGCCAAATGCGAAAAAGCTCTACCTCCTTTAGTGGACTTTGCTATCCTAGGTACTACCAAAAGTCCAGAGTTTTGCGACCTTAGGGAGCATGATGGATTGTAGCGTGGTGGAAGACTAGTTAGGTACACACGAGCTAACCCATTAAGGGCCTTATAGGCAAGTAATAATAAATAATATTTAATATGGAACTTAATAGGTAGCCAGTGCAGAGACTGTAAAATTGGGGTAATATGATCATAGATCATAT